TTGTGGGCGATCAGGCCGGCAGGCAGAGTGGTTAGGGGCTATCAGGCAGGCAGGCAGGTGAGCGGTTAGGGGCCAGAAGTCCCGGATTGCGAGGGGGATGTCCGACTGCTGGTTTAGGCCCTGTACGGAAATCCCCCCGAGGGGTAACAGATTGGAGAGGGTGCAGGCCGGGCTGAGGGACATTTCCTCCTATGTGCATGAATTTCATGCACCAGACCACTAGTCTTATATAGTAAAAGCCTAACATGCTAAGTGTCCAGTCATCCTGTTGGCCGTTCAACCAATCAAAGCGTAATATGTTAATGATATGCTAAGGCTGCTCAACCGCTCACTATGACGTGCACTGACCACCAGGGGCAGAGAGTCGACTGGTTGACCAGTCGCTGTGATGTGCACTGATCACCAGGAGGCAGATGCTCTGACTGGTAGGTTAGCCTGCTTGATCAGGACTGAGCGAGACGGGCTGGACATGCCCTAGAGCCCTCCCACGGTTCCTCCCCGGCTGGCCAGCCTCCCACATCCCTCCCTGGCCCTGATTGTGCACTGGTGGGGTCCCTCCTCCTGGCCTGCGCCCTCTCACAATCCAGGCTGTGCCCCCCTCCCCCAAGTGCTTGGATTTTGTGCACTGGGCCTCTAGCATAGAATAGTTTCATTACCCTAAAAGTCACCAGTGCTCTACCTGTTCATCCCTCCCTTTTTCCCCCTAAACCACTAATCTTTTTTACTGTCTATAAGTTTTCCAGAATGTCATGTCATTGGAATCATATGGTGTATAGCCTTTTCATACAGGCTTCTTTCGCCTAACAATGTCCTTTCAAGATTACTCATTTTTTATGGCTTGATAACTTTTATTTTTTGTACTGAATAGTATTCCATGTCTGGATGTACTATAGTGTATTTATCCATTCACTGACTGAAAGACAGTCCTGGTTGCTTGCAAGTTTTGACAGTTATGAGTAAAGTTTCTATAAACATTCACATGCAGGTTTTTGTGTGGATACTAAGTTTTCAACTCATTTGGGTAAATATAAAGGAGCATGATTGGTGGATCATATAGTTAAAGTATATTTAATTTTATAAGAAACTGCCAAATTGTCTTCTAAAGTGGCGACACTAATTTTGCATTCCCACTGAGAATGCAAAATGAATGAGATTTCCTGATGCTCCACATCCTTGCCGGCATTTGATGATGTCAGTGTTCCAGGTTCTGGCTATTCTAATAGGTGTGTAATGGCATCTCGTTGTTATTTTGATTTGCAATCCCCTAATTACATACGATGTTGATCATCTTTTCATATGCTTAATTACCATCTGAATATTTTCTTTTAGCCCTGTGCTAAAAGTATCCAATATATATTGACATTTCCAAACCAAGCATGTGTTACAATATACCCAACTCTCAGAAAAGCAATGGCCAGAAAAATGAGAAAATTTAAGACTAAATAACGACAGCAGCTTTTCTTTAGAAAAATAAAATGAGGTTATAACCAAAGTTAGTTTCTGAATGACTCATTTGTAAGTCAAGCATGGAAAGCCCTTTATCGTGGTGAGTTAATTGAACAATGTGATTGTAACAGCTGAAGAAATGTATCCAGAGAAAATAAACGTAGGACCATTAGTCTTTTGGTGAGAACAGTTGTTTGAAGAATTGAGGACATTCAGAGCATCAATAGTCAATTATAAAACAAGGCCAGTTATTTTGATAAGTCAACAGGTATTACCAATACTGCTCAGTTGTATACATATTTGAGAAGGCAGTGCTGAATTTGAAGTGACTAAAGAATTAGCCTCTATGAATAGTTAGCAAAGAAATAGGTGAAAATATTTTCAAACAAGACTTACTGTGGTGATCATTTCACAGTATATACAAATATTGAATAATTAGGTTGTAACCTGAAACTAATTTGTTTTATGTTAATTATACGTCACAAATTTAAACATAAAAATGTGTTTTTCTCATTATTAATAGACTTGTGTTTTTAAAAATTATACAAAATTGTTATTTTTCTGTTTTGAATTTCATCAATTAAAAAACTAGTGGAAGATTTCTTTTCCTTTCTCATTATTTAAGTTGCTACATAGTAACTTTAATGTTGTCTCAGCCACAGAGCCTAAAATATTTATTATATGGTCCTTATAAAAGTTTGCCAATTCTTTAATTGATTGATGTCAACTTGTGATAGAGAAACATTTCCCACTGCTTCTTTTCCTTATGTTACTTTATAATACAGGTATATTCTGGTATTTCAAAAATATCTCTTGTATAAATGTAATTTTCATAGAAGATTGATAGTTGCAATAATTTTGAGTTGAATGACAGTTCCACAAACTGAAATATGTGTTCCTAATTTAATTTTCTTTATGAATTATTTTAGTTCTGGTGTTGTTTGGGAGATGAAACCAAAACAGAAATGGAAGCCTTTTAGTCAAAAGCACATAATGTTACTGGAACAATCCTATAAGAAATATCAAGCAGCAAAACAACATGGCTGGATCAAACTAGACAATAATTTTGAGGTATGTCAGAATTTTTTGTTTTTGATTTTATGTATGTACTAGAGGCCCGGTGCACAAAAATCTGTGCACTGGCGGGGGAAGGGGGTGGGGGGAGGTGTCCCTCAGCCCCACTTGTGCCCTCTCACAGTCTGGGACCCCTCGGGAGATAACCACCTGCTGGCTTAGGCCCGCTCCCCGGGTGGCAGATGGCAGGCCTGATCCCTCGGTGTCTGCCCCGCCCCCCCGGGGCGCGCCCAGCCGTTTGTGGGCGTGGCCAGTGGCAGATCGCTGTGGTCCCGCCCGCCAGCCCTGGGTCGGGTCCCATAAGGGCCGCCTGCCACCAGGGTCGCAGATAGCAAGCCCGGATGGCAGCGGGGCAGGCGGGATGGCACTGTCCCGCCCTGCCTGCAGTATGCAAATTAGCCACCATCTTTTGTTGGCGTTAATTTGCATATTGCGCTGATTAGCCAATGGGAGGCGTAGCGAAGGTACAGTCAATTACCATGTTTGTCTATTATTAGGTAGGATTTTGTTGGTGATGGTGCTAATAAGTAAAATTTTACTATCCAAGTGAAAATGTGTGTGTGGAAGCTAATTTATTAGTAAATAAACTCATTTATTAGGATTAGCATAACTAATATTTATTAATATATTTTTATTAGTATATTTTTAATTAAAATACATTGTTATTAAATCATATGCTGTAGTACATTTTAATAATCTATTTACAAGACAGACAGTTTCACAGAATTAGTTTTGTTGTCAGATTATGGAGAAATTAAGATTGGTTGAAATATTTTTTTATTGGTATTGAATTATACCAATATGTATTGCCTAATAAAAACTTGTACAAAATTATATATTTTAATAATGGAAAACTTGCTCAATTAAATTAATTAAATGTGATGATATGTCCACAAAGGAGGGGAGATGTCCACAAAGGTGTACATAGGCCCTTCCAGTGTTGACTCTGAAAGTTAATTTGCTCCAAGAAGACCCCAGAATCTTGACTGCAATTTCTAGCTTGTTCTGATTCAGTCATACAGCTTTTTGTCTTTGTTATCTGATGGTTGAGTTTGCATTGGCTACCAGATATCCTCCCCATCCTTCCCCCTCCCCCATAAATGTCAGCCATGCGCAAATGAAAATAAATAACTGTACAATTAGTGTCAGTTATAAATAAGCTGTCAACTATTCATTGTTTAACTTTGTTAAAACAAAGTTTCAAAATTATCTAGGATTATCCATGACTATTGAAGATTTTTTAAAAAATATAAAGCATGAATTCCTTTAAGTACAGTTTATGTAATTGAAAAGTTCTCAGTTGTTTTCGTTTTCCTCATACCTTTAGTATAAAAGTGATGATTCTGTTTCAAACATCTCAACTGTATTTCACCTTAAGGTAGATATTTTGGTGAGGCAGAAATTAAGATATTTTTCCCTTTCAATTTGTGAGTAAATGAGTATTTAAAATGGGCCACAGTGCTAATTAATTCCTGCTCATCACAAACACATGTTCTTTTTTTCCCCCCCAGGTCAATTTTGATAAAACTCCAATGGAAATGCGCCTCCCTGTTCCGTGCCCTATAAAACGAGATTTTTTATCAGGAATTCAAATTGAATTTAAGCAGTCTCCCCACCAGAGAAGTTTGAGGGCCAGATTGTATTGGCTTCAGGTACCACTGTCATCCTCACTTCAGTACCTATACAGACTGTTCCTGACTTACGATGGTTCGAATCACAATTTCTGGACTTTATAATGGTGTGAAAGCAATAAGCATTCAGTAGAAACTGTACTTTGAATTTTGAGTTCTGATATTTCCCCACATTAGTGATATGCAGTATGATAGTCTGGTGATGCTGGGCAGAGGCAGCAAGCCACATCTCCCCGTCACGTGATCACAAGGGCAACAACTGATGCTCTGCAGGGTAGTATTAAATACATTTTTGACTTAAGATATTTATCGGTATGTAACCCCATAACCCCATCATAAGTGAAGGAGCGCCTGTATCTAATCACTTTGGGAGTCTTGGGGATTCTAGCATACATTGTAATTAATGTCTTTCTTTTCATTTGTATGTTTATTCTCCTTCTCTAAAATATCCTGTGGATTCAACATATTATTACCATCAAAGTCCAAAGATCTTGTCACGTTGAGACTATTTAATTTGACCAGTTAGCCTGCAAGAGTGGTTCCTTGAATTGAAATTGTTGTTTTTAAATACTCCTTTGAATTTTTCATGAGACCCCCAAATAGCATTTTCTTTTGTCATTCTACCTGGGCTATATTGGAGGTTGTTTGGGCAGCTGCTTTGCTTGTTCCCTTCTTCTTTCCTTTCCTCTCTCCCTCTCTCTTTTTTTTCCTTCCTTTTAACTGCTGGATATTATTTAGGACATTTTTATTCTTTTTCTTCTTTCTACCTATCATTGGATTTCATATCCAGTCTCCATTTACATTTTATTTAAACATAGTTAAAATCTCACATGATCCATAGGTACAAGTATTTCCATTAATGATGTACATGCTGTGTAATGTTAATGCAATGATGAGGATATTTACATATTCCTTCATATAAAAAAGCTTGCCCTTGCTGAGGTATATAAGAATTTTAGATTTAAGTGAAACTTCTAATAGTACCACATATACATACGGATCCTTAATTATGATGAAATTTGTGACATCTTCTATAGTATTGTCTCTGAAACGAAAAGTTTAAATTATTTGTAATCCTGCTGAGTTACTTTTCTTTTTTATCCCCCCAGGTTGATAATCAGTTACCAGGTACAATGTTCCCTGTTGTGTTTCATCCTGTGGCCCCTCCAAAATCTATTGCTTTGGATTCAGGTAAAAAACAAAAAAACAAAAATTAAGTTGAATATTACTCTGTGTCAGGCAAAAGTTATTTAGCTGGTTATATTCTCCTCTGTCAACCTGGAATAATAAATCCTCTTGTTTAATTTCCTTTTTGTTTTATATAAATAAGGAATTACATAAGGAAATGTGTTTTTGAATCTGAAAAAAAATTAAGTTGAGATATACTCTGTTTATAAAAGTTAAGTAAATATTATTTTTACCTAATAGAAAGCTTGATTGCCTCTTTCTTGTTTTATTTCTTCCCCGTAGAACCCAAACCTTTCATTGATGTGAGTGTCATCACAAGATTTAATGAGTACAGTAAAGTCTTACAGTTTAAGTAAGTACATTTTCCTTTATTTATCTAAAGGAATTTAAAAATGAGACTCTACTTTGAAAATAGTAAATTATTTTCTACCTGAACATATTAATCCACTTTTGGTCAAGTAATTTTCTATGTTGAAATAATTCCTTCAAATGCCTTCTCCACTTTGTTACTCTAATTAGTATATAAAATAGTTAGTGAAATATAAATGACATATGTATTTGTGAGATGTATTCTTTAAAGTAATCGCTGTGGACTCTAAAGAAAGGATAATGCATGCTATATCATCTCCTTGTATTTGTCTCTTCTGTAACATGATAAGTGTGGGAATTTGGGACTTTAAATGCTAAGTATCACCTTCAGTGAAATCTGTAATGAAAAAAAAATCTCAGTCTAAGTAAAGTAGACTTTGAGCTTGTTAACATGACACTTTTTAAGAGATAAAGGAATAAGTACTGTGGCTTTTGGCAAAAATTGAAGTTGAAACATTGAAAATTACTAGGTTTGATAGAAACCCTTTTCCATTAAAAAAAATGTTTTCCCTCAGGTATTTTATGGTCCTCATTCAGGAAATGGCCTTAAAAGTTGATCAGGGATTTCTGGGAGCTATAATTGCATTGTTTACCCCAGCAACTGACCCTGAAGCCGAAAGAAAACGGGTAACAATTTTTATTTCTTGGAAAAATTATAAAACTTGAAAAATTAAATCAGCCATTTTTTTGAAATAACTGTAGTAGAAGAAGAAAATTAAAATAGAAATTCTTGATTTATTTCTTTTTCAGACAAAGTTAATCCAGCAAGATATTGATGCCCTAAACACAGAATTAATGGAGACTTCAATGACCGATATGTCAGTTCTTAGTTTCTTTGAACATTTCCATATTTCTCCTGTTAAGGTTTGTTGTAATTATTATTTTGAAAATTTGGCAGAATTGTTGTAGAACTTTTAAAGGGGCTGTGTATAATCATGGGTTTTAATTTGTTGCATCAAATATTTGGTGGAATTTTGTTTGATAAGTTGAAATAATTAAGATAGTTCTCTGTAACATATGTATAACCATAATTCCCACAGAGAGACCACCAGAGCGTGCTTTCTAGTCTTGAATTAATAGCCCCTTTATTCAAGGAAGAAGCTGACAAAAGCATTTCTTAATTAAGCAAAGAAGTGCTCACCAACCTTTAATGTTTTGGTTGCACTTTGTAACTACTACCACTGCTTAAACAGAAAGCTATAATGGGTGCCCTGACCAGAATGTAAAAACGCTGAAGTTGCTATTATACTGTTGATGTGGTGTTTTTCACTCTTCCAACATCTGATTGTAACTAAGGGAGTAGAAAATTGGATACCTTTCACTTGCCTGATTTTGTACTTTATGAACCCATTTCCTTTTCTTCTTTTGTTGTTCTTTGTAGGTTTTATAGGAGAAGGTGACTGCTCAGGAAATTCACAAATGCTATCAACCATAATGCTGTAAACTTGTGTAATGGGGCAGATTAACAACTAAGTAACTCTAAAATATTGATGACCCATTACATTTTCAAAAACTGTTCACAGCACATTATTTTCGGTAGCATTCACCAATCCATTCAGCTAAGTGAGGGATTTATAAAATGGAATTATTTTAAATTGACGTATTAGTTTGGTGGTATCAAACATAACCAGTGTTAGGTTTAAAATTGATATTGTTTTATGTGGTAGTTTATATACAATTTCTTTTGCATTAAGCGGAAATAAGTTATTTCTGAGATTGAATAATACCTTCAAGAAATATTTATTGAATGGCCACGATCAAAGTTTCTGTGGGAGGTATAAAGTGACTTCATGGAGTTTATAATCCAAGGCAGTGATGGCGAACCTCTGACACGCGTGTCAGAGGTGACACGCGAACTCATTTTTTTGGTTGATTTTTCTTTGTTAAATGGCATTTAAATATATAAAATAAATATCAAAAATATAAGTCTTTGTTTTACTATGGTTGCAAATATCAAAAAATTTCTATATGTGACACGGCACCAGAGTTAAGTTAGGGTTTTTCAAAATGCTGACACGCCGAACTCAAAAGGTTCGCCATCACTGATCTAGGGAGTATTCAGGTTTTTAGGCACACTGGGAATTGTGCCATGAAGTTGAATAATTAAGGTTATGAACTATAGTTACTTTCTTATCCCATGGTGACTTTGCCCTAGAGAAAGGCTGGATCTCTATCCATCTAAGCTTACCTTTCCTGGATCCCAACACTCTCTTGACTCTGCAGATGGGCAAAAGTCCACATCTAAGAAAAAAACCAACAACCAGGCTTTCCTGGCCTTACCCTAAGTCTGTTCTATTGAACTCTATCTGGGTTAGGTGGAATGCCTAGGGAATGGCAGAATGAGAAAGGAGAATCATCTGTTCTGTTTACACAGGTCACAATTTGACCTTGTTTTCTGGCACTGTTGCACTAATGATACAGCACACAGTAGAATAAGCTAAATGGGAATGTGAAAGTCTCATGTTTCAGTACTGAGGTGAAGGGGCAAGTGGAAGCTGAATACATTATTATTACACTTTTAAAAACTTATTTAGCAACTTGCTAATGGTTGCCATAATGGTCACTTATTGTTACTTGTTATTATTTTTACTTGTAATTGTAACAATTGTTATAGTTAATTGTTGCCATAAGTTATTTACCTAATTGGATGAAAATAATTGATTATCCATTTTGACTGGTAGCTTACTTGTGCGCCATTTGACATTTTTCGTCCTAAAATGATTATGCTATTTTTTTAAACGTTATTTTGGGCCCTCCATATAAACACAATCACATTTATACACTTCGAATAAAATTGTAGCTCTAAATTTGGAGCAGACTAATTTATATTTCACAAAATATGAGAATCAGGTAAGAATGAGTTATTCTGTGATAATTATATACTGAGTAACAAATAATGGCTTTCTTTAGGACCCTAGTGAAAGATACAACATTTGTTTGTATCTAAAATATCTGTATGTATATTTTTTTGTTTTGTTTTTACCTTCTATTTATTGAGTATTATTTTTCTTCTAGTTACATTTGAGTCTGTCTTTGGGTTCTGGAGGTGAAGAATCAGACAAAGAAAAACAAGAAATGATTGCAATTCATTCCATCAATTTGCTATTGAAAAGCATAGGTGCTACTTTGACTGATGTGGATGATCTTATATTTAAGTAAGATTTATGTTAAAGTACATTGGGAGACTTTTGTACCAAGGTTATCTTTCTGGATATTAATTTCCTTCATTTTTGCTAGAATGTTAGCTTAGAAAAATGATAAGTCTTACTACTTAAACTTGAAGAGTTTGGTTCCTTTCTAGTTATTCTCTTTTGGTATGCTTATTTTACTCACAAAGATAAGGTAAAGAATCTTGTGTTTTCTTAAGTTATTAATATCTTGATAATACACTAATGTAGATTAAAATTGAATTATTTTAGTAGTTTATATATTGACCATTTTTTAAAACAATTATATTTAGAAATATGTAGCTACAGGGTAAGATTTCAGTATAATCATAAGGCAAATTATAGATTATAACTCTTTGCTGCATCTAATAGTATAATACTTAATGTGTGCCAGAAACATATATATTCAAGGAATGTTTATCGAATTGAATATTCATCTATAGGATTAGAACAAGTAGTTACCTTGGAGAAAAAGACATATATCACTTTCACCTCAATTGTACACTATTAAATTTCGTGGACTCAAAGAATTAAAGATAAAGTTCAAGTTGAAAAGACTAAGAAAAAATAGAAGTTAATTGCTATCAGGTCTCTGAATAAAGTAAGTCTACGTTTAAAAGTAAAGGAAACACTTTATAACAAAATCAAGAAATTTTAAAAAAATAATTGAGAAAATATGACAAATATGACACAAAGGATTAAGAATCTTCCTATTTAACATTCATGAGAAAAAGCTAAAGATTCCAATGCCACATTGCCAGAGACAGTAAGAGATAACTCATAAAAGGGAAGGTACAGTGGCTGATAGAGATCTGAAATATTACATTTTATTATTTATCAAAGAATATATGAAAGTTATAGCAAATTATCAAAAGATTTCAAAATATGAGCAATTCTAGTACAAAAAGGGGGTGAGCCTGAGAAAAGGGTACCTTTGAAAAAACCTGTATGAATGGAAAGTGATATATATCAAGAGTCTTAAATGTTTTTAGTCTTTCACTCAGTAATTATTTTGGGGAGAATTCCATAAAAATATCTTTAAATTTAACCAAAGAGTTATATTCAAAATTTGGAAATGCATGAGAGGAAGAATTGTTATGATACTTTACACAAAAGTGTTACATAGAATTTTGAATAACAGAGATAAATATTTATTCGCAACTAGAGATCTGGTGCATGAAATTCAGGCATGGGTAGGGTCTCTAGGCCTGGCCAGTGATCAGGGCCAATCAGGGCCTTCCTTCCCGAGGCTGCCGGCTGCTGGCCAGGGCCGTCCTTTGTTCCACGCTGCCCCCGGTGGTCACCACATGTCATAGCGAGCGGTCGAACTCCCAGTTGGTTAAAATCCCGAGGGGACAATTTACATATTAGCCTTTTATTATATAGGATGTTAAGTGTAAAACTGCATACAGAATTTAAACATTTTAAAATTGTATAGAAGAGAAAAGAAGGGATTCAAAAGTGGTAATCACGGAAAGAAAAATTTAAAAATCCACTGTACGGGGGGATTATGGTTGACTTTTTTAAACCTTTTTATTTTTTTATGAAAGACTTGTATGAGAATGTACTATTTAAATAATAAATTTGTTACCATAATGTCAAGATCTCAAACGTATATGTGGCAGATGTACAGATCTAATTGTAAAAGAATTAGCAATAATTAATCATTGAAATTTTAATTATCTTACTTTCAGAATATAATCTTAATACCTTTGAATCTTTCTTCTCCCAGACTTGCTTATTATGAAATTCGATATCAGTTTTATAAAAGAGATCAGCTCATGTGGAGTGTTGTTAGACATTACAGTGAACAGGTAATTTCTTATCATAATATCTCATAAGGAATATTCTTCATAAAATGTCAAAAGAAAACATTTGTATGTGATTGTGTGGTATTCAGTAATGTTTACCTAATTTATCCCAATTTGCAATCTTATTACTTAGTAGCTTCTTGAATGATTAATTTCTATTTCTTTTAGTTCTTTCCCCCTCTATATACCTATTTAAAAGTTTCTTCTGGTGCCCTTTTCCCTTTGCAATTATATATTTATTCACTTTGGGAAAGAATAATGACTTAGGAATCATTACACTTTATTTTTTTCAGTGACTGCAGTTTCTAAGTATATTCTAGTAGAATTGCAAGAGGAATTCTAAGCCAGGTTCCTCCTCATGACTCAGTTACTCTGTGGTTCAGTTTGACTACTCAGAATTAGTAGTTGTTTCAGGGCACAAGAGCACCCTTGCTTACTGTGGTACTCCAAGGTACCATTCTCCTGCCTTCATCTGTTGGAAGGTGCTTTCTCCTGTGGTGTGTAGAGACATTCTGGTTATTAAATGTTCACATAAGCATAGATTTTTATTTGTTTTTCTTTTGGTTGTTATTCCCTATTTAGTTTCATAGTAATAGTGATGATAATAATATTAAAATTAAGGAACAATTACTGAATTATATATTCACTTAATGTGCATACTCAGTCATGCAAGGTCAGTATAATACACCTCCCATTTTACAGATGAGAAGACTGAGGCCTAGAGACTCAGTGCCTTGTCTAAAGTTATATAACTGCTAAATGGCAGACTGTGCCTCAATCCTAGTTCCATCTAATTTGAAAGCCCCATGTAAAGTACTAGCATACTGCCTGCCACATTGTGAAATATTAATTAGTGAACATCTAGTGAACATAGTACTGGTTATTCTGCATTGCTTTCATTTAACAACCTAATTTAACCAGTACTCCCTCTTTTTCCTGTCATATCATAATGTTGTCTCTTCCAATAGTTGTAAAGGACTTAAATTCCTTTTTTTTTTTTTTTTTTTTTTTTTTAGTTCTTGAAACAGATGTATGTCCTTGTATTAGGCTTGGATGTGCTTGGAAACCCATTTGGATTACTTAGAGGTCTGTCTGAAGGAGTTGAAGCTTTGTTCTATGAACCCTTCCAGGTATTGGTCTTTTATTTATTTTAAGTATAGCTATAGGACAGTGGTCGGCAAACTCATTAGTCAACAGAGCCAAATATCAACAGTACAACAATTGAAATTTTTTTTGAGAGCCAAATTTTTTAAACTTAAACTATATAGGTTACATTGTTATTAACTTAATTAGGGTACTCCTAAGGCTTAGGAAGAGCCACACTCAAGGGGCCAAAGAGCCGCATGTGGCTCGCGAGCCGCAGTTTGCCTACTACTGCTATAGGAAAATGGATGTTCTCTTTTATTAATGACAAATAATTTGTATTTTAACTGTATTTGGGAATTGAATAATATTCAGATTACAAACATACAACAGAAAGCAACAAACTAACAAAAACTCATAGGTACAATATTGTGGTTACCAGAGGGAAAGGAGGGAGGACGGAGTTAGAAAAGGGTAAAATGAGTCAAATGGTGACAGAAGGAGACTTAACTTTGGTGGTGAACACACAATAATGTAGTATACAGATGATTTATTATAGAATTGAACTCTTGAAACTTTTAGACTCATTAACCAGTGTCACCCAATTAATTTAATAAAATGTAAATATATATATCAATATTCTATTTTTTTATTTAAAATTACTTGAGATGACATTAAAAGATTGTTTTAGAATTAATTGAGCACTTCTGTTGTCTGGGCAATAAAGCATGCCCACATTTTCCAGGATTTAATTGTACTTGTAAGGAAGAATGCTACAGAGATTAAGACCATTTCAAGGCTGTTTCACCACTATGGAAGGAACTAATGGGGCATTAAAAGCTGACTTAGTTTTATATTCAGGTTTTGCTCTAACCTGTTCTCCTCCATTTAAAGGATCCAGGAGCCCAAAGTAGTGAAGGTTTCAGAAGGACAAAGCAGAGAGAATAAATGGGAGCACAAGGAAGCCAATACTGTGTGGGCTCAGTCTTGTTACCAGTGGGGCTTGTTTAGCATTCTTTTTTTTAAAAATGTAGAAAATAACATTTATTTTTTCCCCTTTATTGATTAAGATATTACAAATTAAATGTAGGAAATAACATTTACTTTTTTCCCCTTTATTGATTAAATATTACAAATGTGTCCTTATCCCCCCTAATGTCCTCTCATCCCCTCAATCCTGCCCTCAACCTCACCCCTGTTGTCCACATCCATCGCTTATGCTTATATGCATGCATACAAGTCCTTTGATTGATCTCTCCCCCTCACCTCCACCCTCCCCTACCTTCCCTTTGAGTTTTGAGCATCTGATCGATGCTTCTCTGTCTCTACATCTGTTTTTGTTCATCGGTTTATGTTGTTCATTATAATCCACAAATGAGTGAGAGCATGTGATATTTATCTTTCTCTGACTGACTTACTTCACTTAGCATAATGCTCTCCAGTTCCGTCCATGCTGTTGCAAATGGTAGGAGTTCCTTCCTTTTTACAGCAGCGTAGTATTCCATTGTGTAGATGTACCAAAAAAAAACAACACCTTTGTTTAGCATTCTGATGGAACTTGGTGCTGAGAGGGCAGCTTCCGATTGTGACTGAGCCCAGGGGTTTACTCCTATTCAATTTTTGTCATCTTAGAGGGTATGTTGAGATCAGGTGGGTTGAAAGTGTCTTCAAAAATAATAGGTGTTCCATCAATATTTGGGTTTGAGGGCAAAAGCTGTGTCATCACATGTTATGGCTCGTTATAGATTCTGTATCTTCATGGAAACCCTGAAATACTAGATTAACGGTCTTAAAGTTATTCTATTTTAAATAGCAATTTTTTGTTTCTTATTTTTGGCCAGGGTGCTGTACAAGGCCCTGAAGAATTTGCTGAGGGGTTAGTGATTGGGGTAAGAAGTCTCTTTGGACACACAGTAGGTATGTACCACATACTTATGTATATATATGTTTTATTATAATAACTAGTGACCCGGTGCACGGATTCATGCACATTGAAAGGAAATTAATTAGAAGGTGGCTGGCAGTGTGGGACTGGGCGAGATGGGCTGGACATGCCCTGGAACCAACCTCCCTCGGTCCCTCCCCGGCCTGCCACACCTGGGGTGGCGCTGTGGCTCGGGGGCATCTGCGGAGTGAGCGAGGACCCTCTGGCAAGTGGGGTCCCTTGGCCTGGCCTGTGAGGATTGGGCTGAAACCAGCTCTCCGACATCCCCCGAGGCATCCCGGAGTGCGAGAGGGCACTCTGCAAAGTTGCTCTCGTACAGGGTATGGAATGCAAATGCAAGTGTGTAGTAAACTAGATTCGGGGCCGACAGTGTCCCAGCAACAACATAACCCAGGGCCGAAGGTGGAATCACACGGCCCCGTGAGGAATCGGGCTCCCTCCTCTCTGGTTTCGGGATGGGTCACCTGAGAACCACCACTGCCAAGTCACCACAGCTCAGCAGCTCCTGCATTGAGCGTCTGCCTCCTGGTGGTCAGTACACGTCATAGCGACCAGTCAGACGGTCGGACCCTTAGCATATTAGCCTTTTATATATCTACTAGAGGCCCGGTGCACAAAAATTTGTGCACTCGGGGGGCGGGGGGAGGGGGGTCCCCCAGCCCGGCCCTGGGACCCCTCGGGAGATAACGACCTGCTGGCTTAGGCCTGCTCCCGGGTGGCAGAGGGCAGGCCCAATCCCTAAGTGCAGCCCCTGGTCAGGCTCAGAGCAGGGCCGATTGGGGAGTTGGGGCGCCGCCCCGTCATGCACAGAGCAGGGCAGATCGGGAGGTTGCGATGCTACCCTCAGTCATGCTCAGGGTAGGGCCGATTGGGGGGTTGGGGCCCCGCCCCCTGTCACACTCAAGGCAGGGTCGATGGGGAGGTTGCAG